ATCTTCTCAGGGTATTGAGTTCTGTTGTCATCGCGGAGTTTGTTTGTTTCGTTTTTGTTTTCTTTCTAACTTGCAATTGCGGTGAATCTGGATTCTGTCTGGACGAATCTTTTGGTTTTTCTGCTTTACAAGAGCAGCGAACAAGCGAGGAAGCTTTCAGGAGGGTTCGAGGCTTCTGATTTTGGCAGGGGACGGGTTTAGCAAGGGGAAGATGGGGGGTTGCAGAATGTTGAAGACGAAGCCAAGATGTTATTCTTCGGCAGTTTGGGAACGAGCTTTGACGAAACAGATGGCTATTGGTGAAAGCATGGAGTTTCTGGTGGTCGACATCAAGCTGTTGGACTGGAAAATCAAATTTCAGGGGTTCATTGGTGGCCTATGTGTGAAAGAAGATGAAGGGATGTTGATCCGCCCACCTCCAGAACTGCCGCCTTGGAGGAATTCTGCGAGTAGGGTTTGGACGAGTATTTCTATTTCTGCTGAGTCGATTGTGTTTTGTTTTTATTTATTTTGAGTGTGTTTTGTTTCTTATTTATTTTATTCTGTAAGACTTTTGCACTTGGATTGGGGGATGAGAGGCCTGCGGTAATCGTCGTGGTTTTGAATATGCCCAATTTAGGATTAGCGAGTTATATTGCTTTGTCAAAGGTGATTAACTCAGAGTCTCGTCCACGAGCGGATGATTATATGTGGTCCTTTTGTTATTTCAACCCCTTTCTGAGTGTTTTTTATGAATAAATGCCCGTTCGATGATAAAAAAAAAAATCAACATTCTTTCAATATGTATCAAAATATAACATAAATTATCTAAAAGATAACTAACAATATTTATATAAACATGGGCTATGACGCTCTCTATTATGTTGTCTTCCTCATACTACATCATTGCGAATAACTATGTGCCGTTTCTTGGCGTAAGCATCGTCTCAAATATACCCTCCAGTGCACATGGTTGTTTTCCTTGCAAATTTCTTCCACGGTCTCAAATTGAATTGCAATTTACGATTTCTAAGGTTTATTTGCAATTGCAATTGAATTGCAATTTATGGTTAGCGTAGTGTGTAGTTAAATGATCTTTAATAATTAAAATTTACATATTTTTTTTTGGAAGAAGAGAGCTTATATTGATATCATAGCATTAACATTCCGAAAGGGGTTAAAATGATATAAAGACCACAAACAACCATCAGCCCTCGAACTAGACTCAGAGTTAATCACCCACAAACAAGCAATATAACTCGCTGATCCTATAATGGTCTTACATGAACCAAAGACGGTTGAAGTAGACCTACAATCCCCCAATCTTAATGCATGATTCTTACGATCAATCATTAAAAGAACAAAGAAGTAAACAGTCTGATTAAATAAAACAACAACTAAAAAAGTAGAAATAAATAAAAAAAATCCAACTTCAAGTGCACCAACATAAGCCAACCAAACAGTCTGCCAAGCATCTTCAAAGAAACCGGCGGATCTACTAGTCGAGACCCGCCTCATCCCCGGTTTTTACCCTATATGTGGCGAAGACCAGCTCTAATACCACAAAACAATTTTGAGTGCACTCCTTGGAAGCTGCTCCGACATGACCCAGTCACTTACACCAGCTCTTCTCGTGGCCGCATCATCTTCTTGAAGACCACTTTAGCCCGCACTACAAAGGGGTCTCGATCCACTTCTGTCTACCTTGCTCAAATGCAAGCAATCGCTAACGTTTTAGCCTTGGCACAAAACCCTATTTCGAAGGAAGATATCATCATTAACATATTGAATGGTCTAGGATATGAGTATGTTGAACACACGCGTGCCATTCGAGTATGCCAGCCGGCGTTGCCTCTTTAAGAGCTCTAACAAATTTTATTGGAGCATAAATCCCGCCTCATGGAAATTGATGCGTCTAATCAAGCACTTTTACCTACTACCAATGTCACACAAAGTACCTCACGTCTAGCTGCGAATAATGAGCAATGATTTCACTCCAATTTGGATCGCCGAGGGTCTTACTCTAAGCGAGGCCGGGGTGGCTCCACGTCCTTCTGAAATTCGTCCAACACGGTTGTGTGCTGTTTTTGTGACAATATTGGTTATGAAGTAAAACAATGCAACAAGTTACAAAGATTCCTACGTGTTCACAATGTTGCTCCATCCACTGGCCCGGTCATCAATCACACCACTGCTACATTGCCGGCTTCCGGCTAACCATGGTTGTCTGACATCTATGCTTCTCATCATGTTACAACAAATGTCAACAACATTCCATCCTACACTGATTATGACAGACGTGATGAGGTTTAACTCGGTAATGATAAGTTACTTCCTATTACTCACACATGTTCAACTCAGGCTCATTAAAAATAGCTTGTATTCTTTCCAAATTCTATCTGGAATGATCCTCTTTAATTAGGGCCACGACATTCATATTGACATTGCCATTTGGTTTGGGCAATGTAACCTGACCATTACCGCCCCCGGAAGCCATCTGTCCCGCCATACTGAAATGTTCGTACCAGAACCAGCCGCCTACGCGCCCCCTTTCAAACCATATGCTAAGCTTTGAGAATACTATACTTCTCCAGATAAAAGATGGGTTACTCCCCATTTTCCATCCAAAAATGAAGACTGAGGGAAATAACGAACCTTGATGACCTTACTCCCCAGGAACTTTGTATCTGTGTAAGCCTCCACACATGTCTTCCTAGCATGACAATGTTGAAAGGCCTTCTAGGACTTTCATCTGATTCCCATTGCCTCAAAATCCTTCCCCCCGCCACCAATAATCATTCATTATTATCTCTAGATCCGAATAGAGGTTTGTCAGAAGTAGAAAAACTTTCATAGCTTATGAAGACATTGCCTGAATGACAGTTTTCAGAATGACCTCCCTACCAGCTTTGGAATAGAATATGTTATTTCCAACCAGCTAGTTATCCTCTAAAAATTCCCTCTCTCAGATACTCCAAACTCTCCAACTCCCGTCTCCCTAGTAGGTAGGCAACCCTAAGTGGCAATTGCATATTTCCCCAGTCGAAACACCTAGTGATCGAGTGTGTCCAAAATTTATTGATGCTTGTTAAGACCTGAGGTTCCATCCTAAACGGCCAATCTGATAGGAGGAGTACGTAGCCCATTTCTTAATATAGCACTTTGATGATTCAAACTTTTCCAGTGTGTGACTCTAACACTCCTCCTCACGGCCAGCCACTTTGTCTGGATCATGCCATCATTCATTTTTTTCGTCGGTTCATCATTGTCATTTTTTATATTCGTGTAATCATTTTTCATAAGGGGACCCACACCAGGGTTATGGATCAGTTTGGCTCTGATACTATGTTAAGACCTGGGGTTCCATCCTAAAAGGTCAATGTGATTGGAGGAGTAGCACATTTCTTAATATAGGACTCTGTTGATTCAAACTTTTTCGATGTGGGACTCTAACAATGTTTTTTCACGTTTGTTTATTATGCCAAAGTAGCGGGTCATTATACTGTGGTAGGGGTGCATGGTAATCACCATACTCCCACACCTAAAATGATGGCATTTACATAAAGCTTTAACTAAAAAAACATGTCAACAATGAATATGTTTTTATTTCAATATTTTGTTGGATGTAAATCTTGTGCATTGAATGTAATGCGCGTTACAACAAATGTAATCTTAGGTAGCGATGAATTACATTTCGGGAGTCTTGCTTCCTTCAACTGTTATTCTCTCACCTCCCGTGGTTAACAATCCTATTCAATCCCATGTATGAAAAATAAATCGTGTTTATGCACAATTAATTTGAAGCAAGTTGAAATGTAAATTGCGTATATGCAAAATAAAATATAACTTGGGCAAGTCGAAATGTAAATTACGTATATGCAAGGGGACGACTTTAACATTCTCCAATGGTGGAAGACCCATGAAGGGATGTTCCCCATTCTATAAAAAATGACCAAACAAGTGATGTCACTATCGTGGAACAAGAGTTTAGCGAAGCCGGTAACATCTTGACTGATTATAAAATGAGATTGAGCACTTCATCTTTTGAGACGCTCATTTGCTTCCATGATTGGTTGAATGCCTTCGAAGAACACAATAAGTTTACATAGCACCGAACCACCACTTCATGGAGGAAATGACAACCGACGATACAAGCGGCTCTGATGATGAGTCCAAATATTTAGGGCCTGTTTACTAACAGAAATATTTTTCTGTTTTCATTTTCTGTTTTGAAATCTTCAGTTTTCTGTTTTCGTTTTCCAGTTTTTTGTTTTCCAAATCAGAAAACATGTTTACCAGAGGTTTTCACTTTTTCATTTCATTTTTACTAGACAACGTTGACTTAATATTTGAAAAAAAAATGCACATTTACAAACATTTGAAATAACAAAAAAAATTGATATAACTGTTCCCTAACATTGAAAGTTCAATAAGTGACATGTTAATCAGAACAACAATTGTACTTCGACATCTCAAACATTATAATCATCCCATATTGCATTTGCAATACTTTCTCAAATTTCGTGCATTTGTTGTTGTTGAGACATATCAAATTCGAGTGGTCAATTTTCACTTGTACTTGCCTCCGTGTTAAATATCATATCATCTTCCTCGTACTCCAAGAACAAATCATCGTTCCTATCTTGCATGCGAATGAAGTTATGCAAAGCGCAACAAGCTATGGGAATTTGAACTTGTCTTCTCAATGGGTAACCACGTGAAATGTCTAGAATGGGAAATCTTTCCTTTAGTACTCCAAAACACCTCTCAATCACATTACGTACGGACGAGTGTCGGTAGTTAAATAAAGCTTGCTTATTGCGTATTCGTCCTCGTCCTCGAAAATCCTTTAAGTGATAACTCTCTCCACGGTATGGGGCTAAAAAACCCGGAACATTTGGATAGCCAGCATCAACCACATAGTAATAACCTATAATGAAGTCAATAACAACTACAATGGGAACCCATTTTTGTTAAATAGTGACTTTATAAACAAAAATTGCATAATTATTGTATCTAAAAATACTCGAGAGTCATTGCACGTTCCCTCCCAACCCGCGTATACATACGTAAACAACATGTCATGACTACAAGCTGCCATGACATTTTGAGTGACCGTTGAATGTCTACCGCGAAACGTCTTTTGTTTGGAAGCGGGTGCTGAGGCTGCTACATGAGTACCATCAATGGCACAAACACATTTCTACAAAATTTGTACACCATTAATAGTATGTGTTAACCTAAGTATTGAAAAAGGTAATTAGGCTTAAACATACCTTAAAATAAAGATACCATTTCGGTTTTTCTAAAATTTCCGGTTGAACAGGGCCCCTATTAATCGGCTTTATAACTTCTTTGGCCAATCGTGCAAGTGCTCTCACCACACGCTTCACACATAAGTGAACAGTTCGCATTGAATGCTGAAAACGCTCTGCACATGTATGTTGCCCCACCCCTAGACATAACACTAAAAGGCCTATTCCTAATTGCTCTCCAGCCCTTAAATATCTTGAATCGTGTAGAACATCCAAATTCTTAAGCCTTTCACATAAATGCAGGAATACATGTGGCTTCATCCTAAAATTTTCATAGCATCTTAGTGGATGACTTGTCATTAACTCATCGATATAAGCGTTACCTGTGAGTATAGACGTTCGACATGGAATTTTTTCGACGTCAACTAAAACACATGTAGTCATTAATAGTAGGGCCCCAAACTCATCATCTTCATCACTTGCAAAGTCTGAAATATCATCACCACTGCCATTACGTGACATTGTGTATCTGCAATTGCGTATAACATTCATGCTTCAGTTGCAAGACAAATGCTAAATCACATAATACGTAACAAACACTTTCAATAATTCGACAAACAATACATAGTTAAACATTATTCTAACAAAGTGTTCAAGTTCACATACACAAAACATATAACATATATTACGCAATCCAAACACAATTTAACTAGTTAGAATCAAATCTCATAACCCAATCCAACTGTCGGTCTGCTGGCATAGCCATAAAGGCCTCACGTCGGACAACATCTGTAAGTGCATCGATGGAACCATTATAAGCACGGGTTGACACATTTGGCATAACATTTATGACTTCAACGCATCGGGTCATAGAAAAATTTCCCGCTGCACCTGTAGATGTGGTGCTAACATCTTCATCTCGAGATCGACGTCTCTTTTCGTTTTCACTCATTGTTGTCGTGTACGCGTGGACCGCATTAGCCAAAATAGTCTTCCAGTCCTTATTGCTTGATCCCATCGCTTCCTCAGCTTTGCGTTTCCCTTTTGAGTGCGATCTCTCTGAGCTCATGCCCCCCTCACCATGTAAGAAGACGTCCTCATTCCTTCTTTCCTCATCCGAGTGTGTCGGTACTTGGGTGGAAGGAAAGTCCTCCACTTGCACTCCCTTTTCCAAAAACAAGATTCATTAACGGATAGTTCTTGCAACCCTTCCTTTTAAAATTCTTAAAGCCCTTATTCATCTGCATATTTGTGGTACACATATCTCAATTAAAGATCTCAGGAAAAAATGATTAAAAAAATTAAAATATGATTCAAATGCCATAAATTCATTAAATTAAACATTCACCTTGTACAATTTCTGCCAACATTCCTCTGTGGCATGAACAACATTCCGGCTGGAATCATATGTAACTCTAGTATGAGCCAATAAATGACCGAATTGTCTATGTATGAGCTTCATCCTGTTGTACTTTCCCCGTAGCCTGTCAGTACCATATTGATAACGACCTCGGACCAACATCTCATTATCCATATCATTCCAGTCTCGACCCTTAAATGTTGGATTCCCGGTTGGGTCTTTTTTTTACTCTTTCATATAGCACAGTAAAAAACAAAGTCTCTTTTTCATCAGGCCATATGACATCATCCTTTTCTTCTTGAGTTAAACTCATCTACCACAAAATTGTAGCAAATTGTAATGTGCTAACAACATTTTAGATATAACCATATATATATATATCTAAACGTCTTTAAAACCTGCATGCCTTTAACCATATATAACCTACCTTTAACCATATATAACTAATCGTCTATCAAACTGCCTTTTCTATAGAACACGTCGAAAGGTGCCTGCTTAACCCCACATGTTACAGCTTCTTATCAAGTCAGACTTAATTTTATCAAGTAAGAGTAATATGCAGTACATAATACTAATCACTTGTATCACTTGTGAAGTACATAATTTAATAGATTCTTATATCACTTGTATGTGGCTCACTCTTATATAATTGAAAAGTACTTCGAAAAAAATATGAGGCTTTCGCATAACAAAGCACCTCCCAGCTTAAGCTTCAGAAAAGCCTCAACCATGAGAGGCTAAAGACTCGGTTCATTCAGTATGATGAGCGACCAGGAGAGTGGCTCAAAAATCCTTTCTAAACCATGTTGAACACTTTAATATCTGAACACAGATCAATTGAACATCTACTTCTATTCCTTACATGATATGATATGGTGATAAGATAATATTAATGTAAAAGGTTAAATTTGAATATAGAAAAACAATCACACAAATAACCAACCATCTCAATATTTTGTGAGAAACTGGAGACTTAGTGCTACTTGATATAATACATGCTCTTTCTATGGTTATTTCTTTTTATTAGGCTTCAATTCAACCTGGTGAAGTCAATAACAACATTACGGAGGTACTTGAAATGATTCCCCTGGGATATGTAGTTTTATCAGTAACCCAGAGAAAATTTAAATGAAGAGTTTTTCTTTGTTTCCCATTCGATGTTTATTTGTTGTTCAAAGCCATTTATTTTCAGTATTATTTTTAACCATCATTTTTTTAGCAGAGCAAGTTCACTTATGTAATTGTGATGGAAGAAATTACACCTCGAGATGAAAGCAACCATATTTCTGCTCGTGGTCAGAGGGTGTTGTTGCCTAGTGGAGGAATTAGTGCTGATGGACCTCCAACAACACTCAGTGAAACTATGTGCAAGTCCAGAAAATTTGATAGGAAAATATACAGTCAGCTAGTAATAAGAATTCCCTTTTCAATATAATGTAATAAGAATTCCTTTTCATTTGCTAAAAAATAATACTATTAATAATATCCAGTAGTATCAAGAATGGCTTTTTTTACTATAAAGATTATTTCTTAAGCATTTGGCTAAGTTTGCAATGTCAGGGCTACAATTGAAAAGGGTCTAGTCCTAAAATTTCAGATTATTGACCTTCAGAAAGATGCATTAACTACCAACTTAATAAAACTAACTAAACTACACAAATAAAGTACCAAATAAAATACGCAGTAACTACTAACCTGGACTACATCAAAGCATAAAACAAGAATACAAAAGTATATATGTAGTATATAAATTACAAACTCAAATAAGCCTTAACCTGGACTAGAACGGCAAAAATTACCAGAATTGAAAAAAACTGAAGGTAATAGTGAATTGGTTTTAAGGATTCCAAACGAAGCTACAAAGCTAAAAGTAAAATTAAGAAAAACAAACCCTAACCATGAAGTTCAGGCTTAAGAAACTGATTTGGTTTTCAGATTCCAATCGGATTTCAATTTTGAAAAAGAAAAGTTGAAAAATTTATTGAGTTTCAGAGATTACCTTCAAATCGTTGGCAGAACAGGAGCCGACGGGAGAACAGGGAGATGCCGTGATGTCAGGGCTCAGCTCCTAGCAGCGATGGCCTGATTTGTGAACCTGGAGTGTGGTAGCCATGTGAGGAAGAGGTAGGGAAGCTCTGCTCAGACGAATCTGAAGTTGTGGCGTCCGTGTTAAAGAGGTGCAGTGTGTAGCTCTCGACTGACTTTTAAGCTGGAGCGAGGAAGGTGAGATTAGTTAAAGCCGAGTAATGAAGTTAGGCGGAGGAAGGTAAGGGATAAACGAAAGGCAATAATGGTGGTAGAAGGATGAAGGCTAGCGATTAAATGAATTTACTGTAGCACCGCGTTTTCTAAAACTAGAAAACGCATATAAGCCTGTTTTCCAATTCACGCGTAAAAAGTGAAACCTGTTTCGATTTTTTTTTCCTAGAAAACATTTTGGTAAACATGTTTTCTGACTTTTCTATTTCCAGTTTTCCAAATTTTTGGAAAAACAGAAAATATTTCTGTTAGTAAACAGGCCCTTAAAGTTTAAACTATTCTCAATTGCAATTTATAGAAGTGTAATATTCTAAGTCAATGTAGTGTTTAAAATAAATATACATTTCAGTTTTTAACGTGTAGAATTTTTTATTTATTAAAAAATCAAATATGGCCTGAACGGCTCGAGACCTGACCGGGACTGGCCGGGTACCCGGGACCAAGACCGTGACCCGTAAAGTTCCGAATCAGTTCCGGTCTTAATTATGGGGGACCAGGACCAGCCCATCCGGGAGAGTCCATCCCTAATAATTTGCACAAAGTAACCCAACGATATGATTATACGGAGTATAATCTCATACCCTGGGCCACAATCAATAGGCTCCCAAATCTGTAATTGGGTCCATTTACTTAGGGAGGAAGGACCCATAGCAGGGACTAGAGTCTTACGGGACTCCCTTAAGGCTTAAATTAGGGCTGGAATCATCTCATATCTACCCAAGCGACACGTTTCACTCAGGCAAAAGGCCCACGACACATGTAAACATGCAACTTTTTAACATCATGAAGGCATTGGTGCCATTTTCGACTAACCTTTGAAAACCTTTTTAATGTGAATATTTATACTCATAATCATAATAGTAAGTAGACAATTATAGGCCTTAAATACTTCGTTAGTAATTAATTAATTAATGAATCCAGATGCATCACCGTCCAACCCGAGATCGGGAATTTGGGTTATCCGAATGCACCGGCAGCATTTAAGGTCGACGACCCAGTTTGAAAGCGGCGATCAGCAGCCCGACAAATCACATGCCACTTTTGTCTCTTTCCCATTTTTTATCCCTATTGTTTTAATGTTTGCAACAAAGTTATTATCCCATCGTTTTTACAAAGTTACTCCGTATTATCCCATCGTAAAATTAAGGTATTAACTTTCTGTTTTTAGTAAGCCATTAGTTTTATTAGTCATACTTTAGTTTAATGCAATTATAAAAAGAATTTCATCAATTCTCTCACCGTATAAAATAAAATTTGTCGATATATGGTTCAAATCATAAAAGACTATCAATTCAATACGTAAAATTCCATACATTTTTATTTTTTAAAATTGAATTTTTTTTATGTCACTAAACTAATAAATTTTTGTGAGGAAAAAATCACCAAATATTAACAATGGCGTTAACAAAAGATAAATAAATCAAAATCTAAGACATTTGAAGTTTTTGATTGATAGTTTTTAATCATTCGGCTCTATATCGACACACTTTATTTTTTAGATCCTTTATTAATACTGAACAAATCTTTCAGGTTTTAAATTGATAAAATTTCATTATAAAATGTATTGTTGTGTTTCTTATTGTTCAATTCAATCTGATATATTCAACTCCTTCAAATTAAAACTTATTTCTTTTAATCAAACCATTGACGACAATTAGATTCAATTGTTGAAATTCTAAATCATTTAAGCAATAACATACTCCAGACATCATGTACCATTAATTCAAATAAATGAAGTAAAGAAGTATTATAAATTTATAGGCTAACAAGGCATCCGACATAATTTAAATTTAAATCATACACTATAATAATGTTCCAACTTTGGTTACAAAATATATCACAATTCACACACATTGTAGCCCTGAACCTATTTTTTTAGAGGCTCAGCTTACAAGATTTCTAAATAACTTAAATAAATAGTTTCTAAACTATTTGTTCATAATATGTAAATATAATGGTACTAAAATGTATAGACCATTAGGCCCCTCAAAGCGGGTAGTATTAACCACCACTGCCACAGAAGTTAAATGCTAGAAGGACCTCGTGGCTTGGCTTACTTCATAGTGTACATTTTCCTATCAAATTACCATTATACCTTTACATGAATGAATGGTGGTAATCATATAAGTGAGGGTATAGTGGTAATTTTACAGGGTGGGTGACTGAGTGTCATTTGTAACACTACTACTAGCAGTAAAAATAACAGAAAGCTTTAAAAATCACTTTTTGAGTTTTTTATGGGGTAAAATGGTAAATTTATTTAAAACTGAGATCCTTCAAAGGTTTGACCAAATTGCCAATTTGGTGGCGCAACGTTGTTGCTGGTGATCGTCCTGCCGTCGCCGGTGGTGACCTGAAAAGAAAGACTTTGACCGTCCAAAACGGAGTTACTTTGCCAATTTTGCCCCCAATTTCTCGACATTTGTTGCCACCCGCCCCTCGAGCCCTTGATCGCTACTGCGTGGACGTCCCCGAACCCGCCGACGTTAGTCACGAGAACCAAATTGAAGTACGTGTGCCCATTGATCGTGAACCGGATCCCTCCCTTCTTCCGGCACGGCACCCGGCGGTAGTTCACCGGGACAATGCCGGCGCGGTATATTGCGATTTGCAAGTATGCCGGCTCGGCCATGTCGAAGTGGGCCCGCGGCGGGTTGCACCACCCGCCGTGGTCGCTGGCCTCGGATGGGTTGGGCGGGCAGAAGTCGGTGGCCGTGATGGTGATGGACCCGGGGTTGCAATAAGGCCCATTACACATGAGCTCGTAGCATGAGCCGCAGGCTAAGCCGTTGTTGAATAGAGCCGTGCTCAGGGCCGCTATGTTGGTTCCATATCCGGTTCTGTATAAGTTGCCATATCCACACGCACCCCCTGCATTTATTTAATTACCAAATTTGCCATTAGCAATTTGTTGACCGTTATAGTTGACCATCAAAATTTAGTTGTAAAAATGTAAATTAATGTTCAATGTAGGACTAAAATCAGGAATAGTCCGAAACCTTAGTTTTAAATACGTAATGATCACCAATTCACCATAGTAATTTTATTTAACGCGATTACGAGCAATTGA